CCGAGGGTTCCAGGCTATAAGCTGAGGGTTCCAGGCTATAAGCTGAGGGTTCCAGGCTGTAAACCGAGGGCCAGCACCACACGCTGCCTGTCAGCAGCCAGAAGCAGAGCCTGCCTCTGTAGGGGAGCAGACTTTGCCACCACACGATGTGGCTCTTTGGCATGTGGATTATTTTAGGCTGATTATTTTTAAAAAACAGAAGGACTCAGTGACTCTGCCATCGCCTCTTTGGGCCTCAGTTCCCATGGCCCCACCCACTGACACTGATTCCAGACTCAAACCCACCTCCTCATCCCCTGCTCCTCCCAGAGCCTGGAGCACCTTCTGGCGGAATTGTCCAGAGTAATTTGGATGGTGGGAAATTGGCGCCAAAGCCCTGATTTTATGTCGAAACCCCAGGCCTGAAGTGACTTCCCTGGTGAGCTGCAGCTTCACCTGAGCTTCCCCTTCACCTGAGAGCAGGCGGGAGGCTGACAGGGCTGCAAAGCCTGAGAATCAGTGGAGGGAGCTGGGGTGTGCAGCCTGGAGCGGGGGAAACTGAGGGGCCTGAGGCCTCACACCTGAATGGCGTCCTGGGGGAGGAGACAGACCACGGCCTCGGCCGCCTGAGAGACAAAAGCTGGCCGAAGGGCAGAGGTCACAAGAGCAGACTACGGTTCACCGATTCACCGATTCACCGAAAGGAAGAGCTTGCCTTCTGCAGAGCTGCCCAACCCTGCGAGGAGGAAGCCTCTGACAGGGGCGCAGTCAGGGTTGGGGGAGGGGTTCCCGTGCTAGGTCAGGCTGGGCCACCGACCCCACGGCCACTCCTAACCAGTCCAGAACAGTCTCCTGCAACTTCCAGCCACATTTTCCCAGTCTGGTCCCCCAGAGGTCTAGACTGCTCAACGCAAGGCCAGGAACCGGGTCTTTTGTGTCTGCTTTTCCAGCAACCAGCAGAGGGAAACAGGGTGCTTGGTAAGTTCTTGTCGAATGAATGCATAAATGAACACACGGATAGATGGATGGACGCAGTGCCTTGTTAGGGCAGCAGTTCTCCAACTTCAGAATCACCTCAGGGGCATCTTAAACCACAGAGTTGCAAAGCCGACCCCAGGCTTCCTGACTCACTTGGCCTGAGGTGGGCTGGACAAGCAACATCTCTGACACGTTCTGGCCGACCACACTCGGAGACCCTGGATTAGAGGGTTGGTCTGGGGAGATAGGAATGCAGTCTGAGGGCAGGAGGGTTCCTGAGCGTTGAGCGTGGACATAGCAGCTTGGATGGGGGGAGTGGTTTGATGAGTCCCCAGGCAGCCAGTGGCTGAGGCCCAGAGCCCCTCACTTCTGAGAAGCAGGTGCATCTTCTGAGAAGCGGGTGCATCCAGAGCCCTGTCTCTCCCTCTGTTTCTCTGTCTCTTTCTGCCTCCTGCCACCCCGTTTCTCTCCAACACCTCTCTGGATTGATGTTGTGCCCACTTTACAGATGAGGGAGCTGGGAGTCCAGCAGGGGAGGTGGCTTGCCCAACACACCCTTAGCTAAGGGGTGGCACTGGGACCTGAGCCTGGGTCTCTGACTCCATTCTCTGGGCTCTTCCCATGACTCAGAAGTTTCCCGGTTCCTGGTAATGCCAGGGTGCCACGTTTGGGGGGCGGGGAGGACTAGAGCAGCTGAAGTGCCGTTTTCAGGGGAAATGGTCTGCCCCAGTGGGGCCCCGAGGGCCTTGGGTGCTTTCTTTGCATTTCCTGGATCTGAACTGGAAAAAAAGCCTCAGGGGGCTGCCTCACACATGATTCCTGATTCACACAGACACCAAAGAATGGACCCAGCCAGACAAGTTCATAGAACCCAAACACTTACCCTCCAGGGATGGAAAATTCTCCTTTCGGGTTTCCACACAGTCCTTCATAAATACATTAATGATGTATCACCCTTGTAAGGAAAATAAAAGGGAACTTTATCAAAGCAAAAGTATAGGGCGCCTGGGTGGCTCAGTCGGTTAGGCGGCTGCCTTCGGCTCAGGTCATGATCCTGGAGTCCCGGGATCGAGTCCCGCATCGGGCTCCCTGCTCGGCGGGGAGTCTGCTCCGCCCTCTGACCCTCCCCACCTCATGCTTTCTCTCTCTCTCAAATAAATAAATAAAATCTTTAAAAAAAAAAAAGCAAAAGTATAAGCCCATTTGTGTTGAGCCACTCCTCGGGGCCAGACCAGCCCTGCGCTGGGAGACAATGAGGGGTCAGACCCAGCCCCTGGGTAGGGAACTTGGGATCCCCTGAGGGTGCATGGAAGACGGAAGGATGGAAGTGTGCAGGGCAAGCCGCTGTGGGGACAGAGAACAGGCCCTTAGCTCACTCCGAGGGCTCAAGAAAGGCTGCCTAGAGGAGAGGGTACTGTGCTGGGCCTTGGAAGGTGAGTAGGCTATAAGTAACCAGGTAAGAAAGGGTGGGAAGGGCCTCCAGGCAGCAAGACCCACAAAGCAAAGGTGCAGGCACGTGAAGAAATGCAGTGTGCAGGAGAAAGAACTGGAATCATCATACTAGGGCTCTGTAGGTCACTCCCTAGGCATCCCCGAGTCATCGAGAAGTGCTGGGCCGAGCTGTGGCCTGAGCGGACGGTGCAGCTTGATTGGCTGGGGGGTAAGGAATGCTCCTCATCTCTGCTCTGTGAGTTGCTTGTAACGGGGCCTCCCGTATTCAGGGGTCTGATCTGATCGTGGCCGTAACAGCGTGAGCACCATGCGGAGGATCCCAGGGGAGGCGGCCGCCACCATCTAGGGCACACCCTTCCCCGCTCTGGGCTTTTGCCGTGCCCGGGAGGTCTATCTGCGGGCATTCCTCAGACCTTGTCAGGGGCTACGAGCTGATTGATGACACCTTATGGGAGGGACTAAGCGTGGGTGGATGGATGGATGGACGGACGGACAGATGGATAACGCAGAGAGGCAGGAACATGGCTTCATCCTGGGCTCCTGTTCTCTTCCAGCACTCCCATCCCACTCCACTTCTCTTTCTAGCTTTTAAACACTGAGTTACATAGAATAAAGACATGCACAAACAGTAGATGAATTTTTACACATGTACACATCCATGCAGCCAGTGCTGAGGTCATGACACAGAACAGTTCTGACTTCCCAGAAGGCCGCTTTCTCCCGCCCCACTTCGAAGAGCACCATCACCCACCCATGAACATCAGCCTGCCAGGCTCCCCGTGTGAGCCCCAGCGACTACCCTCACGCTCAGCCTCCAAGCCCAGAAGTCATCTGGGCCTCTTTTCCTGCTCACAATGCGCTGGGCCCCAAGCCCTGTCCTCTCTGTCTCACTTCAGGCCTCTGTCCCTCCTGTCATGCCACACTGTCTCCGCCTGGCCTGGGGTCACGGCCTCCAGGTGCTCTGCCTCCAGCTCAGTTCTCCTCTCCTTCTGTCACCTCCTCTACTTGGTGGGGTCTCTTGGAAGATGCTGTGGTGGTTCAGTGATTCCTGGAAATTTGCAGGCAGTCCCTGTTGGCGCAGCTGTTCCTCGTGGCTCTTCTAGAGGCTGAGTGCCAGCCCGTCCCTAAGCTGCTGATGGATCACATGCACCCTGACACCCCAAGGTCCTCCCTGCGGCCCAGAAGGATGGGAATGGTGCCAGCAGGCAGTGTGCTGGGAGGAAACGCTCCCTCCCTCCACTCCCGGGTCCCAGAAGCAGCACTCCCCCATAAAGAGAGGATATGACCCAATGGAGAGAGAAATGGAAGAATAAAACCCAAACAAAGGGCAGGAAATGTCATTCTGGGCTGGGCAGCCTCTGGGAAGGGGCTGGTGGACAAAGAGATGCCAGGAAATGCACTTTGGGTCCAGACTCTCAGGCCAGCCTTGAGTAGAGGCAGTTCCCATGTGACCTTTGCCAGCACGTTCTCCATTGTTTGGACAAGTTTTCAGTGAGTGCTCCTCCTAGCCCCTGGCTTGGCTCATTCCAGCTCTTTGGTCACCTGTGGTCCTAGCTGCCCGTCCTCCAGAAAGTCTTTCCTGAGCCACTCTGATAAACGGGGTGGGATGCCCCTGCTCTGTGCTGTGATCCTCACATGCCTGCCTGATCACTCATCTAGACCGTGAAGCCCCCAGGGCAGGGACTGCGTCCCATTCACCACTGTATCCCTGGTTCAGGGCCTGGCACGTAGCAGGTGCTCAATAAAACTTTGATGGGGGATGGGATGAATGAGCAGGTGCCTGGGGAGGAAGGTGAGAGCCCTTCTCAGACCCATCCTAACCTTCCTGTTGTAGAGCTCTTGGCCTCCTCCACCCATTCCCCCTCCTCTGCTGGTGGAGGAGGAGGGAGAGGATGTGCAGGACTTCTGCCCCTCGGGCACCATCCTCTCTCCTTGTGTCTTCACCTTCCTCAGGGGGGATCAGAACTTTTCAACCAGCGAGAGACGCATGATGGGCAAGTAGACAAGTAGTTCTTTGGGACCTTACTTTTGAAGGGAAGAGAAGGAGCGAATCAAATCACTTAAAAAAAAAAAAAAATCAGCAAGTATGTCAAAGGAAAAAAGCCCTGGGCGAGAGGCCAGGGGACCCAATGCTGCCAATAATAACTTACCTGATTTCATGAGCGCCTACTGTGTGCCAAGGACCACACTAGGTGCTTTATTTGCATTATCTCATTTAATCCTTACAACAACCCACTCAGGAGACATTATTACTATTAGTATCATCAACATCCCCATTATGCAGATGAGGACACTGAGGCACAGAGAGGTTAAAACACCTGCCAGGAAAGACCCACGTCAGATCTGTCTGATCCCAAAGCCTGCCTGCTGGGCCCAGGCTCAGGCTGCATTTTGTGAAGGGCTATACTCCCTCCGAGCCTCCCACATCCACACTGGAGGAGAGGACACCTGCAGCAGGAGATGGGACATGGCCCACACTGGCAGATGACCGGAGCTGAGCAGGGGCTAGGTTGCGGGAAGTAGCCCACGCTGTACCCGCAGAAGTGAATCTTCCGGGTTTTTTGAACAAGCATTAAATTCAGTTTTCCATCAAAACCACATTTAGTTACATGACCATAATTCCCAGAAGAAACACCCCAAACTGTTTGAAGTTGCTGCTTCTGAGGAGTGGGTCTGGGGCAGATGGGGCGTGATGTAGGCCACCTATTCTTTTTTTTTTTAAAGATTTTATTTATTTATTTGAGAGAGAGAGAATGAGAGACAGAGAGCATGAGAGGGAGGAGGGTCAGAGGGAGAAGCAGACTCCCTGCCGAGCAGGGAGCCCGGATGTGGGACTCGATCCCGGGACTCCAGGATCATGACCTGGGCCGAAGGCAGTGGCTTAACCAACTGAGCCACCCAGGCGCCCCTAGGCCACCTATTCTTCATGATGAGTCTCCCAGCGGCATTTGTATGGATACGCGAAATTTTATTTTTAAGAAAGAGACCATGCCGAGTCAAACACTCTTCCTCCGCTTATAAATGTATGCATCTCGTTCTTTTTCCTCCCCCTCCACCCCTTCTGTTTCTGTTCTCATGTTTTTTTTCCAGGAAGAAAAGACGTTGGGCATCCTGGTGCGGCACAAAGTTCGGAGTGGAGTCTCGGGCGTCGTGGGCATGGAGGTGGACGGGCTGCCCTTCCGTGGCACCCACGCCCAGATGGTCCAGAAGCTGGTGGATGTTGCCACAGTGTGCGTGTGACTGTGCCTGTGGACCGCATACCAGATGGCCGGGCCTGGACCTCAGGAGGAGCTCCCCGAGGGCCCCCGGCTTCTTTCCGCGAAGGCTATGCACATAAACACTGGCCCTGGGTGAGCCCCGCCTGGGACCCTGCAGGACCACTGCCTGGGACGGGACCGTGCGGATGATACGGACTGAGGAGAATGGTTCTTTGGGGTTTTTTCTTTTCTTCCTGAGTGCTTAGAGGCTTTGACTTCAACCCCCCTCCTCCTGGTTCCTTCAGGGCACCCACGTGGTGAGAGTCGTCTGACCAACCGCGCGTGGGGACACCCGCAAAAATATTCCTTGCCAGGCAGACAGAAGAGCACGCATGACCAGGGCCGTGAATAATCCCCCAGGCTAACTAAGAAATAGTAAAATGTACAAATACGTAGTGTCTATTTACGAAGCTCTGGGACTTTACCACCAGCACCAAAATATTTATACCTCTGAAATGCTTTCTTTTTCAAACAACGTTTTGTTTGCGTGGGCCTTCAAACCTTACGTTTATCACCATCACCTTCTGTGAGGCCCCCACCTCTCTTCACTCCCACAGGTCCTGACACCCCCCACCCCTAGGAGCCTGACACTTCTCCCACTCCCTCCCCATATGCTCAGCCCCAGCCCAGAGCCGGAGGCTTTGGCTTCCCCATGTAGGAGGGCAGGCACGCTCCTGGAGCTTGGGGGAAGGGGTCGGGATGGTGTTGGGCTCAGGTGGCTCACAGGATCCTTCTGGACAACAGTAGTCAGCTCGCCCACATCTCCTTCACAATCTTCCACTGCACATTTCCCAACAAAATTAGAAGCAGAGTCATTGACCACATCCCATTACACTCCTGTATCGAACGAGGACGGTATCTTGTGCTAGTTCACGGCTGAGTGATGCCTGACTCATCCAGATGGAAGAGTCCGGCTTCCCAGCTGCAGCCCCAGATGCTTATTGGGCCTGCTTCATTTTATTTCCTTAAACATGTCTACTTCAGTTCTTTAAGGGACGTTAGTTGTAAAGCGTGGAACACTTGCTACTCTAAATTGCTCAACAGTAGAAGTTAGAGCCGAAGTGTAGAGTAAGCAATCAGGGATTCACTTCCAGTGCTCCCCACGCCGCAGCATGGCCAAGCCCCTGGCCGGAAGCAGCCGGGGTGGGGACCGTCCTCCCCTCCCCTTGTCATTGTGTCCGGGAGTCTCCACCTACAGGTCTGTGCTTCGGCTGGCGTGGGCTCAGGGCTGATGTGCTCATTGTGATGAGCTCATGCTCCCTCCATCTGCAGCTTCTCACAGCTCACCGAGTCCCTCCAGGCCCCCAGCTTCACCCCCTCCCCCCCACGGAGGGCCCGGGATCCTCCAGTGACAGTTTTGGTCCCTGACATGTGACTGCAGAGCTCCATGTCCTGTGGGGTCTCGAGAGCATCCCCTGGCATTTTTGAAGTCTCGATGCCTAGGGAAGAGAAAACATCATGTCGGTAAAGCTGCCATCACTCTTCTGATTCATATTTTGGGGGAAGACACTAATGGGCTTTGGGTTTTGCAATAGTAATAACAGAGTTCTGTTCCGGCATGGAGCAGTTTAAGGCAGGACTGTGTAATAGGTTATCTGCACTGTGGCCAGAAGTTTATGGGGAGATGATGAAGTTGTTTGGGAAAGAGGCCGAGACCCGGGTGGAGCCCAGAGAAGGCTGAGAGTGAGGGTCCTCACTCTGGAGTGAGGCACCCAAAGGCCCCTCTGCAGGGAGAAATGGTCGAAGGTGCAAGAGAGAGCCAGGAGTAGATCCCTCAGCAGGGTCCAGCCCAGGGACCACTGGAGCTCTGAGCTCCAGGATCCGGTTTTCTTGTGTTTCTATTCTGCAGTAAGATTCCTGGTCAAGCCTTTAGTAAAGTTTTGCTCAAGTTCGTCCTCGTCTTGTCTGTGTTTTGATAAAAAGCCTGTGTCCACGTCTGGGGTAGCACGGTGAGCATGGCTCTGGCCTGGAGAAGCCAGTTACGGTGGGACAAGAGTGTCCTATAGGGAATGGCGGGGCGGCCCAGGGGAAGAGATGGGCTGGGCCACCAGCAGGATGGATTTGTGGGGCAGGTGAACATCTCTGGGCATTTCCAGGAATGTTAGGAGGGCTCCTGGCAAGCTGGGTCTGAGGTGCTCTTTGGGTGTTCAAGGGCAGGCTGGAGACGTTGGGCACACCAAGGAGCACAAGCCCTGTAGACCCTGCAGGAAGTGGGACTCAAAGGCAAGCCAGCCAGCTAATGGGGTCAGGGTTCCTTAGCCCCCTGCTGTCCTCTGGTCAAAGGCCATCCCATTGCTCATCTGGGCAAGACATTCCTCTGAATTCATTTCCTGCCCCTCTTTGAGCAGGCCCTGTTGACGGCCAGCCCCAACCCTGGAATGACTCATGCTGGTTAGTAGCAAATTGGTGTCATTAGAAGTATTTGTTCAGAAACTGGACCATCGTTTGGGGGGGCGGGGGGGAGGATATAGCTGGGATAATTCAATGGAGAGAAAATTGGGTATCATGACCTCTATGGTACATTCCAGCACTGCTATCTAATGTCTAATCTAGCAGTGTCCTGATAGTTGTTGAATTAAAGCAGATGGAATTGAAATCCTACCATTTCTCCTGGTCATTGGGTACCATTGTGACTTCAGGGTGATTGCCGTCAAAGGCCATTGTCTTGCTAGATGAGTTCCAGGCATGGAGGCTATGGGATCACCAGCTTCAAGAAGCAGGTTTTTCAGAAAAGCACTGAACCAAGCAGACCACCTTCCGGCTCTTTTGGTTATATCATTCAGAGGAAAGCAGCAGATGGGGATGTATTCTGTGCTGAAAATTTCTCCCACTCTTGTCTGGCCAACCCACAGGCCAATGTATATAAACAGGAAGATGAGCCCTCATCTTGCTAAGCAACACTGGTGAATAAGAAAGGAATCTAATGACTCTGTCACCTTCTGTCCAAACCAGATGGGCCTTTTCCTCCATCCATTCTCTCAGGAGAGAAAGGAGTCTTAATCCCCAATGATGTCCTCACTTAGTCTGTTTGGAAGAAGGATCAATTCTTGCAGAATCCTTCAGGACTCCAGGAATCTGACCCAGAGAAGGATTAAGTAACCAAAACCAAATTTACATTTTAATATGATGCAGTTGATCTTGAGCAATAAATATGTAGCCTGTCACTGTTGAGAAGATGCTAAAACCTAAAAGGGCTGGCCAACAAATGTGAGCCTCCCCAAACAAAGCCCAAGCAGTGAGGAGAGCCCCAAGAGATGACTCCAACAGGTCTTTCTACTTTGGCAATCTTTGCTAATGAGGAGGGTGGTCGGCCTGATCAAGCCTTTCCTCACTGTGGGGAACAGACCCTGGAGGGTAGAAGGGATCATGTTGTCCAAGGACAGTGATATTCTCCAAATCACAGGGCTGGACTCTGTCCTCAAAAGGGAGGGGGCCAAATTAAGTCCCAGAGTGGATTTGCAACAATGTGCTAAAGAGTTGAAGATACTTTATGAATCTCAAGAGGAGGGAGAGAAGACCCAACTTCACTTGAAGGCTCCATCCTTTTTGGTCACTGCTGGGTGACCAAGGGCAAATACCCTAATTTCTCTGAGTTTTCTCTAGGAAAGCTAATCCTGGAACTTCCTGACTCTGCTGGGTATTTCAAGAGCCCTCTAGATCCCCGTGGTGTTGAAAGATCCTCCTTCCCCATAAGGACTGCAGCACACTCCAGCTGTGGCTGGCTACTTTGCTTTATTTGCAGACTCAAGTTTGCTACATAAATCCATTGCACAGTCCAACACACACATACTTGGCATAAAAGAGAAGACAATACAAAAATACAACTCTTGATAGTAAAAGGAACCGCCCTCAGCTCATCCCAGTCCATCCCAGTGGGAATGCCCATGTTTAAGGTCAAAATAGGGGGAAATTTGGGATGAGGAGGCATGGAGGCCTCACCCAGTGCCATCGCCCCAGTAAGATTCTGGGCTGGGACTGGGCAGACTTTTCTTGGCAGTGTGGCCATTTCTGCCACCTTCAGATCCGGTCACTTCCTCCTTCAGGAAGGGGAAGAGAGGCATCCCAGGTTATGGGAGGCCCTCCATAAGGAGCTAGCCTAGGGCTACCCAGTCAAAGCCAAAGCCCACTTCCAACCTGAGGTATCAGAGACTCAGGATAAATCTGCCTCTTAGAGAAGGACGGGAGGAGAGGGGAAGAGAGATTGAAATATTCTCCTTGGCCCTCCTTTTAGCAGATTCCAGAAATGTTCTGTGGATGCCAGCTTGTATCTCCCCATCCCTGGTCCCTCTCAAGGCTTGAGTCCACCTAGCCCCTTGGGTGTGGGGAGCTGGAATCCAGAACTCTGAGAGAAGTCAGAGCTGGCCCCAGCCCGCCGACCAGGAAATCTGAAGGGCTAGCGTTTCTGCAAAGGTGGCCAGATCCTTGGAGCAGCAAGAAGTTCTTCTGGTCCTTGGTTGTGTTCACCAGGGTGGAGGCTCAACATGGTTGGGCACAAAGTTGTAGGAGAGATGAGACCCATACCGAGGCTTCTGGGACAGAAGATGATGGCAGAGAGGTGGCCGTCAGTACGCTGGGCTACCTGCGGCCCCTGGGGCCCACTGTCACTCTCCACGTGCAGACGTGGGACATCTGGCAAAGGAGCAGTGCTGGAGAAGAAAGGGGGCAGGACGAGCCCGGGGGCCCCCTCCTCTCCTTGTCCTAGGGGCTATCTAAACCGTTGTGGAGCTTAACCCTAGGCCTTTGGGCTGAGAGATGCTAGAGAACGTGTCTCTGTTTTGCTTTGTTGTATCTGAGAACACGGAGAGCGTGTCATGCTCCTGAGACTGCTAGACGCTCCACAGGGTGTGTGGCAGGGGACAAAGGCGGGAACTGGGGTGGGGGGGGGCAACACCACCAGCACTCACATAACCCCAGCCTCAGTGTCTTGGCACAGAGCTCTCATGGAGACCCTGGCATTTTAATGCACACACACAAGCCCTGGCTTCCGTGCCCAGTGCTTCTGGGCAGATGGAAACAGAAAACTAATTAGGGGGACTCTGTGTGTTGGGAACTCCGTCCTGACACAGAGCTTTCAGTACTGCCTGTTTGAAAGGACACAGACATGGCCTCAGGGAGCCCCGGGGAGCCCTGGGATTTGTCCTCTATCAGTCCCGGGGCTTGGGGAATCCGCTCAACTCTCCCTCTGAACGTGAGACATGCCTGGAGCTGGGGTCTGTCCTCTCCTGTCACTCCCTTCACTGTCCCCGACCATGCACCTCTTCTCCCCGTCCGACCTCCTCCTGGCAGGTCCTCTTCCCACAAACGGGTGGGTCCCGAGCGTTAATGATGACAATACACCTTCATGTGTCGTGTCCCCAGGAGGCACTTCCCCATAAGGAGAGGTGTCATCCGTGACAATGGCACTGGAAGGTCCTGGCACGTGTGCCCCCAGGTGCCCCACCCTCGCCTCCCCCCAGTCCCTAGCCTCCATGTCCTCACACTCTGCACCACCCGCTCCCCCGCCCCGCCCCGGCAGCTTCTCTTCGAGAACCCCGGGGAGGTGACAACTGGCCGTCTGCCCCTCGCCAGAAGCCCCGCCCGCACCAGACAACCCCCAGGAACCGACGGGGCTCATCCCCGCCGGGCCCAGCAAGCTGGAGCGGGCTCCCCGGGACCAGAGAGGTCCTGCCGCGGGCCGCGGCCCATGGTTCCCTCCGGCAGAAGGAGGCCCCTGCCCGTGGCGGAGCGGGGAGGCCGGCGGCGG